CCAAAGTAGAGACACTACATACTGATATACACCTGAACATCAACAGGAGAGGACTCTTTAAAGTAGAGACACTACATACTGATATACACCTGAACATCAGCAGGAGAGGACTCCCTTGCCCTTATTCCTCCTAGCTTAGCACTTTCTACTTTTGTTGTTATTTTGTTTTACTTGCTTGTAAGCGCTTTGAGCCCAGGACAAGCACTTTATAAATGTAATGTATTATTATTATTATTATTATTATTATTATTATTATTATTATTATTAAGCTTACTAACATTATTGTCCACCTTAAGCGCTGTAGTATTCTATTTTCGAGCTCTTTGCTAGTTAGCAATAATCAGCATTATAGCCCATATGGACAGAAGTTTGATATTGGCTGATTTTGACAATATTGGAGTAGTTTTGTGGGTTATTGAGAAAGCTGAATCCATTTGTGACATTTTCAGGATCCAAACTTGCAGCAAAAAGTTGTCAGATTTGTTCTCCTGGTGGTTGTTGAGGTTTTAGAGGACGAGGGATTGTTTATGATAGTCAGCAGTTCATCATCAGCAAAATAACATGCATTACAGATTATTTTTAAAATATCCTAAATCTCCCATTTCCTTTTCTCCTGCAGGTGCTGTTCGCCCAATCTGTGTCCTGAAGGATATGAGTGTAAACTCACAGGTGACTCCTTCTTCTGTGAGGCGATGCGTGATGTAAGTCCAAGCATATATCATGAATTGATCTACTGTTTTTATTAGTAACATTCTAAGGCAAGGCAAGTTTATTTAACACCCTTCAACACAAAAATGACAGACATTAAGAAAATGGCATTTCAAAACATTCATTAAAAAGCAAGGATAATAAAATAAACATTAAAAGACAAAATACATTAATAAAAGTTACAGAGCAGTGTGAGGTAGGAATAGTTCAATTAAAAGAAAAGTCTTCAGCCTGGGTTTTAAAAGTAGTCAGAGTTGCAGCGGACCTGCAGGTTTCTGGGAGTTTGTTCCAGATATTTGGAGAATAATAACTAAAAGCTGCTTCACCATGTTTAGTGTTTTAGTACCTACAATGACACTTCCATAGGTACCATGCGTTAGACATTATCTTTAATTGATGCTGTCCTATCAGGTGTCTCCAATGATTGGCTACATGGAGATCATGGAGATCAGTGTCAGCGTGCTGGGACTACTTCTCTTGGTTGGGATCTTCGTTTGCATCAGGAAACGTTACGTCCAGAATAAGAAGAAGACGCCCGTCTGTGTGCAGGACTCCAATGGGTAAGAGCTGATGTTTGTGTCTGAAGTGAAGTTTATAAAGTCAAACATATTCCATTAGTTGAGGTTAAAACTACAGTAGAGTCTGTTTGGATTTGGTTTAGTTGGGTTAGGTTTGACAGATCCAAAACAACGCTTTTCCAGCAGTTTATTTCTTGATGTTCGTTGGTTATAAAGCCTTTGTTCATCCAATGGCAAATAGCCAAGCAGCAAGAGAAAAAAAGATGGAGGAGAATTTAATCCATCGAAAAACAGGAAATCTTAAATAATGTTACTGTGAATTTGTAGGGGTTTTACACTACATTACCCAATGTTATGGTATTAGTCAATTCTTCTATATTTTGTAACCGTAATACATATTTGAACAGCAGAACAAACCATGAATTGACTATTTACTGCAACTAGTAGCTGGGTTTTTTGTGTATCATCTTTTAACATTTCGCATAACTCCCCCCACAGCTACTTCCACCCCACCCTGACCAAGAGCATGAAATCGGAGAAGCGGGAGATGAACCCGATCGAGATGAGCTCATTGGTCGGTCCCAACAACGACCTCGACAATACGCCGTTCAGGTTGCAGCGCCTTGGCAGTCAGATCATCTCCTCGGGAGGGGTTTCCTGCCCAAAGATGCAGGGGCCGGTGGTGTGCAGCGTGGCCCCTAACCTCCCACCCAGACCCCCGTCCAGCTCGGATAACGACTCCATCAGGAAGACCCACTGGGACATGGACTACGAAGGTGTGTGATTTATGCATGATGAGCATTTTGAGTGTTTGTGTTTACCTTACCCTGCCCATCTTTTCCCCAATGGCCCATCTTTTCCCCAATGGCCCATCTTTTTCCCAATGGCCCATCTTTTCCCAATGGCCCATCTTTTCCCAATGGCCCATCTTTTCCCCAATGGCCCATCATTTTGAAACCCCCATATTCTGTATTTCTAAATCAAACTAGCTAATAAAGCATTGTAATATGGACGAATAGGTGATTGGTCAAATTTAAGATTGACTGAAGATACATAAAATAACATGGCACCTTCTCTTACTCTGTTTAAGGCCTCACGGAGAAACCTATCCGCCAAAATAGAACAATGAATCAGAAAAAACTAAATTAAGTTTTTATAAATGCGCCATTAAAAAAAACCTCAATATACATCTTCTACTGAATCTCCACCTCATAGTTGTGACAGATTCCTACTCTTTAGAAATACCAGTGTATGAAATGGCTTCTTATAACTTTTACCCATCATTTGTGTGGACAAAGTAGAGCTTTACATGGTAATCTGAAGACAACTTTGTTAATGGCCCAATCTTTTGAACGCACACCGCCATTAATTACATCGCCGCGACTCATTTCCGACAACGTTTTGTCTATTAAAGTACGTGCATGGTGTCAAATCCAACGCATATAAAAAAGAACCTCAGTTTTAGGAGACGAAATGTTCTTGCATGAGGCGCTTTGTCTCGCCCTCTCTTATTATCTTTATTTTTATCACCTTTTTCTTTCCTGTTGCACTCTTACTCCCCCATCTCCTTCTGCTCTTTTGTTATCCTGCTTCCTTCCGTTTTGCCCTCCTAACCTTTCTCTCTGTCTTCCTTTTAATTTTGTGTGCAGCATGTTTCTTTCATGCAACAGATCAATAAGCTATGCTCCAGACAGATGAAGAGGGTTCATCTCCGTGACCTTAGTCGTTATCCGTCTCGTTGTTAAAGTGGACGTCAGCTGAATCCTCTTCACTCAGTTTTTTTTGTGCCACTTGACCGCATTGTCCATGTTCTCTGCACACAATTGGTTTTTAAAAAAAAGCTTGGCAGGATGATAGACAAAGACTTAATGATGGACCTTCTGTTGGTGATAAATCTAATCACAGAGCCCCATTACACTGTCAGTCACCATGAAGCCGTTTATGGACATAGAAATATTTTCAAGATGTTTTTTTAAATATAACTTTTTAAATCCTGCCTCAAGTGCTTATTTGCAGTATGTAGTAGTACATCGTGACATAGTGACATCACTATGGAACCCTCGCGCTCCTATTGGATAACACTCCAACATATAGTCCATACATACTGATGTACACCTGAACATCAGCAGGAGAGGACTCTTTAAAGTAGAGACACTACATACTGATATACACCTGAACATCAGCAGGAGAGGACTCTTTAAAGTAGAGACACTACATACTGATATACACCTGAACATCAGCAGGAGAGGACTCTTTAAAGTAGATACACTACATACTGATATACACCTGAACATCAGCAGGAGAGGACTCTTTAAAGTAGATACGCTACATACTGATATACACCTGAACATCAGCAGGAGAGGACTCTTTAAAGTAGAGACACTACATACTGATATACACCTGAACATCAGCAGGAGAGGACTCTTTAAAGTAGAGACACTACATACTGATATACACCTGAACATCAGCAGGAGAGGACTCTTTAAAGTAGAGACACTACATACTGATATACACCTGAACATCAGCAGGAGAGGACTCTTTAAAGTAGAGACACTACATACTGATATACACCTGAACATCAGCAGGAGAGGACTCTTTAAAGTAGATACGCTACATACTGATATACACCTGAATATCAGCAGGAGAGAACTCTTTAAAGTAGAGACACTACATACTGATATACACCTGAACATCAGCAGGAGAGGACTCTTTAAAGTAGAGACACTACATACTGATATGAATATGAATATGAGCAGAATATGGCCCCTTAAATCACCAGATTTAAAGGTGCAGTCCGTTTTTTTTTTTAAATCTTAAAACATCTTGTCGACCTCCTCCTCCTCTCATCTATACTTCCTTCTTGTCTATCTTCCTTTGTACCTCCATCTTCTTTCAGTCCTCCCATCTTCATATCTACTCTTAAACCACTTCTCTCCCGGTATCTTTTATCTGTTTCTCTCCTCTTCGTCCATCTTAAACTCTCTTGGTTTCTCTCTTTTCCTCCATCATTTGTCTCAGCCTCACCTCTACTTAAAAACCACTCTGGTTTCTCGACCTTGCAACTTTCTCTGCTAATGTTCTCTGTGTCTCTCTTTAATATTTCCCTCTCTAGCTCGAGATGTTGTGCATGAAGGCAGGAATTTGAAGCTCGTCGCTGTGTTCCCTGTCAGTCAAATACCATGAGCTCAAATCAAACACCCTGGGATTTATAATCTTTTGTTGATTATAATTAGCGCTTAATTGCTATCAGCAGGGGTTAAATTGGGCCGGGGCTGTCCGGGGCTAAATCCCCGGCAAATAGGACGATGCTCTGACGTCATCACCCTCGCACATTTGTCATATGTTTACAAAAAACAATATACGTTAAAACTTTTCTCGTTCTTAATATAGACTATTTAGGGTCGATATGTGTTAACTTTAAAATAGCAGATCTCTGTGACCGGATATAGTTTTTTCGGCTTAGTGAACATGTC